AGCAAAACACTTGCGCACAAGTGCACATGTGTTTGTCATTTTGTAGTGTTTATTCGGATTTTTAAAACCTACTCCAGACTTCTTGTGGACCAAAGGCAAACGGTTTCTGATTCAATTTGCTGATTAAAATGAGCTATGGCATATTATTTTTGTTGCCTTTCACCGGAAAAGTCTATGCATAAATGCGCAAATTCACGGTGTGCCAAAATACATCGTTGGAGAAAAATTATCACACATGACTTAAACTAGAGCGAAACTAAACCAGTCATTACCCGAATGCCCAGAATTCGTCCAAAGGTCGTTCACACTGAAAACGCTAGTGTGTGAATGTCGCTCACTTGTAGGAATGTGAATAACCATAACCATTCGCACATTTTGAGGGGTAAAGGTGTTATGTGTACGAATGGATATTCACACTCCTACAAGTAGTGTGCTACATGCAGACACTTGCGTTTCCAGTGCACCTAATGGGTCCATTGATTAAGATAAATCACTGTTCGACAAGGCTCGTATCATCATTAGTGCTGTGCTTATATCTTAGTAGTAAAGGGTAACACTGTTCATAACACATTTCTAATAGTATTATAGTATAATGGTAGTTAAATTTCGAGGGGGAAATCACTTGTGTACTATCTCGTTCACCTTGGCCTGTACTAAAGACGTTCTAACTCGTACTAAATGCGTAATAACGCGTATTTATGTTAGAAATAGAGCTTAATAGTGGTGTAACAACCCCCTTAGGAGACCATCAAATGTTTTCTAAAATTAATACATTTATTTTTAAGCCACTTTCGTGGGTAAAACCTCCTCTAGCGCGGAAACGGTGAAAGATAGAGCCAAACGGACAAAATTTTAGCCCGAAGGGCTCTACTCTCACAAGTTACCTCTTACAAGGGAAGGTTTTCCGGTGATACACTCAGATTTCAATGGCGCTTCAAAGTATTGTTGTTTTCATCCCTAGATTAGGTTTTGCATTGCTTGTAGCTGCCCGTAGGGAGTTTAAAGCTCGTTTTACGCGAATTTAATTTAAAATTCGCCAAACTTTCTAGCCTGATTATCAACTTTACATGCACGTATCTCAAGAACCGTTTGAGCTACAGCGCCCAGATTTTGAGGGAAATCATAATTTAGCACGTTCTTT